CGGGGACGCATCCCGCGCTAGGGGGCCAGCCCACAGGCTCAAGGAGCTCCTCTCCTTCCCCCCCGCCCCCGCTCCGACCGACCGCCACCCCCCCTCCCTCTAGCCTGCGGCCTACTACGAGCAAGCACTACTGTCGGAATCGGCGGCAGCCTAGGGTCACGGTACGGTGATGCACTGCTCACGGCCCTGCTCAGACCATCAGAAGAAACCGCACCCCTATCTATCAGCTGCTGCAGCAGCACACTGGTACTCAAGATTCTCCTGCCTTGTTCACCCAGGCCATAAGCTCTCTGCCGATGGGCCCCCTTGGGGCCGACCCCATCAGAAATTATCCGCCCTCCGCCTCGATCACTTTTTTCGATGTTTTTCGAGGCCTCCACTCCCAGAGGCTGGTTGAAATCCGACCTCATCATGATGATGCATCGCTTCTCTTTCTTCAGGGGCTTGCATCCGAAATACGGAACTGCCCCCCTCCAGTCTTCAGGGACAGATCCTCGCTCATGTACTGCTGCCACCAGTCCTTCGACCCCTGTAGCAGCAGCTCTTCCTCTTCCTGAGTAGATCCCGGTGTAGATGTCCTCGATGCGCAGTACTTCGTCGCTGAAACAAATATATGGATGCGTGGCGGCCCCCTCCCCTTGTAGTCCTGCTCCTCGCCCTCGGCCTGCTTGGCCTTCATGTCCTTGGACTGGTCGTCGTAGCCCGTCCCCGCAACGATGAGCTGTGCAGGGAGACCCCGATCGAGTGCGATGTCCCACCTGAGGAACACTGAGCTGGACACGACCGCGAGTTCTCGGGCTGCCGTGAGCAGCAGGCGCACGAGCATCTCCACCACGCGTAGCATGTCCTTGCCGCACTTGCCCCGCCCTTACTGCCGCCCGTTTTGGCCGACTTGGGGCGCCCGCTTCTGCGCTGCTCGCCCGTCCGCCCTCGCTCGGAACGTCGCGTTTCTTGAACCAGGGTGGCATCGTCAGCTCCGCCATCTGGGATTCCCTGCTGCGAAGTTTCAGCGCTGAACGGAGGAAGCTTCCGTGGAGTATGCTCAGAAGCCACGTGGTTACACAGGTCGGGTAGACCAGCCGCTTCATGTGCACACAGGGAACACTTGAGACCCCGAGGCGGCTGCAGATCCCCAGGCGCCCATGGCCCCGTAGTACACCATGATCCCTTCAGAAAAGAGCCCAAGGGGTGCCGTGAAGCGGTGATCTTCATTGCAGATATTTGCTTGCAATGCACGCGCATATTAGTCGGCGTGATAACATGCGCCAGACTACGTACATTGTGATGCGCCCTGTAGTGGTTCATCAGCGGTTTTCGCGTATGGAAAGAAGCCCCACATGTCCCCGTAGACGTACACGTACACCTCAACCTCGTCTCCTTTTCGAGAGCTCCAGGAGGCCCCGCGAGCGCATTCAGCACCATGTGGAAGCTTGGTGGGGGGACCTGGACCCGAGACCTAGCAGCCCTGAGACTTCCCATGCCGATCATGCAAAACTCCCCCATCTCCTCCTTCTTACCGAGCAGATTCTAGCCCCCAAGCAGTGCATCGGTCGCCTCGCAACCGACGGCGCCCGCAGCGCACTCGAGGTCACGCGTTAACTGGCACAACCAGGGGGAAGCCGCCCCCGAAAGAATACCATCTACCAACTGCGGAGAGAGACCTGCTTCCACCTCGCCCTCGGGATCTCCGAACATGACGCGCAACGGCTGGATGTGGTGATCTGGTCTTTCCCCCCCAGCTCTGATGCCATATCAATCGGCGCATCCTCCACTCACTGCCGCAGTCAAGATTGCCCCAGTACGACAGAACCTGGGAGTGGGAGAGGGAACTCGTCTTGTTTTCCATCTGCACCGTCGCGCGACCAGGCGTCGCGATCCGCGCCAAAGAAGACATGCAACTGTCCAGTCGTCGACAGTCGGCCGCGCCGAGGACCAACGGCCCGAGGCCTGTGAGCAGAGGGTTCTGCACGTTGCCCACGAGCAAGCACTTGCGCAGCTGAAATGCCGCCGACGCGATAAAATGCAGTCATCGTTGCAGAACACTTTCTAGTGACCTTCTGACTGCTAGAATCTTGGACGCGGGTGCGGGGGCCCAGGTGCCCCGCGTTGTCTTCGTTTTTGCCCTGGATCCCCCGGGTACCTTTTCGACTAGCTTGTCTCCTGGGGGGGGCACAATACGTCAAACACTCACGCTTACCTACGTTCTGGGCGTACCCGAAAGGCGACATCACGTAGTGAAAAACCTCGCCTGTGTCTTTCACCTTCCCACCAGAGGCCCCGCGGGGTCATGTGATCCGAAGGCTCGACGGTTTTGTTTACTTCAGCCGCGTACTTCAACGGGCTCAGGTCACTCTGAAAATCAAGCCACCTCAAAAGCAAACATCGAGATAGGGTCAAGTCGGTTCCACTGATCGGCCCGCTGCAAAGTAGCCCGGGAGAACGCACCTAAAAACGCGACCACGGTGAAGGGGTCCCCCATGACACCGCCTTCAAACGGTTTGACCAGGAGTGGCCCCTCTTCTGCAGTTAATTCCACCATGCTATTCCCGTAGCGCTGCACGCACAAGGTACGGTTCGCCTCCGAGGTGGCGCCGGCGACCGTGACCTCCCTTTCAGACCAGTCAGAACTTCCATGCGCGTTGGTCATGTCTTTGAGACTCGTCGCACAAGAACGTCGCCGACGGCACAAGCGCCAGCAATTTCACCTGAGCAATAAAAATACCCCCCTCTCGCCTTCGATGCGCGATGAAGCCATGATCCTGTTGTGAGGGCACTACATTGAGCGACGTAGAATAGAAAGCTTCCCCCAGGGCTGGCAACGCCTGTACTACTCTTTTCCTCTGGGCCCATGTTGTGCACTTTTTAGGGGCTCGCGCCCTGTCTCCGATGCCAGTGTAATGGGTCTTCTGTGAGTTTCTGATCTTTGCGGCGCCCACCGAGATGACCCACCAGAACCCGGGGACTTTCGGCATGTGCGCATCATATCCAACTCAACGAGCCGCGCGCCGGGATAAAGAAAACGCCCCCGAGGTAAACCTCTGACGCCACTGCCCAGTAGCTTCGCCCACGCGCTGGGAGCGAAGAGCTCTGGCAGCACGACGCCGTTCGGCAGCGAGAGTGGAAGTAAGCAAGCGCGGCTCAGCGTCCACCTCCTCTGCGGATGTCTCATCCACGCCCATCTTCGACCCGCGAAGCCGACCTCGCTCCGCCAGAAGGTGTCGCCGACGCTCCGCGTTCTCCTTCTATGTGGGACATGTGCGACTGGAGTCAGAAAAGACACGTTGCCCTGCGGCGATAACAGCATCCCCCAGTCGTTCAAACAGTTCATCAGGGGACGCCTGGTCCTTCAGAAAAGCAAAAAGTAGTGTGTCCATATCTTCCTTGGCCGCCTTCATCAAATATTCAGCACGACGCGCGCTTCTGCGTGGCGAAGCCATCATCGATTCACGATTACATCGAACTCCCCCAACTGGTGGACCTCCCAACGAGCCAGACTTATCATACGTCATCGCGCGCCTCACTGGCAAGTGGTTGCGAGGAGCCTGCCCCGCATTGCTTGGAGCTTGGCCCCTGGCCCTCGTTGTGGGAAGCACCATGTCACTGGGTGCTGCATAGATACAGGATCGGAAACATAGTCAATTCTGTCCGAAGCTCGTTCTGAAGCTCCCGCAGTAAGGTTGGCCATCGCTGGGAAGTCTGGGCTGACGTCTGGAGGTGTGCGGTGTGCCTCCGCGGGAACAGGGGCTCGTCTCGGCCCCCCCCTGGAAGGTGCCCCCAGGATTCCAAGCTGCATGCGGCTAGGCAAGATGCCCTTGGGCATAGGACTGTTGCTTTCGACTGTTCTGACAAGACAGTGCTTTTCATATGCCTTAAGTGTAAATGCCACTCCACTGGTGGCAGGATTAGAGGCCTAGGAGAAGTTTGTAAGAAGCCCACCCGTGCGGGCCGCCAAGGTTGGGCCGCATTGTGCAAGGGTATTCACCCGCAGTACTCCAAGTCCAGCAAAGGTGTCACTGTTGACGACACCTCGCTCGTTCGTTGCTTCAACTCGTTTTTGGTTTCGAATCCTCAATTTTCGGAGGAAGATGTTTCTAGCCCTGTGCCCTCTGGCGCGTCTGGCAATGCGGCCAGCGCTGAAGGGCAAGAGCGTCCCAGCTTCACAGTTCCAGCTATTGCAGCCTCTGCCTGCGCTCATGCCAGCAGCGATGCGCCCAGCTCTTCCTTGAGTGATGTGGTCGCCTCGGCCTCAGCCACCAGGGAGTGCTTGGATCGCATTGCTGCGTCTCTCCGCTGCGAAGCGGAAGAGTTGGGAACGGGTGGGACTGTGGAGGTGGGGTCGGGAGATTCGGATTGAATTTCAGTGTTCTCGCCTGCCTTTCTCTTTTGGCGGGTTTGAACCTTTTGTTCGTGCGTAGGCCTTCGGAGCCACTCCTTCTTTGAGTTTCTGTTCCAATCTTATCCTCGGCCGTGCTTTGCTTCCTGGGCTTTCAGGCTGTTGTGGCATAGGTTGCTTCCCGCGACCTAAGCGGCGACCGCCTGTCCGCTTAGGACGCTCTCCGCGTTGCCGATTTTTCCAGCTGAGGGTCAGCTGGTGCCTGTCCTCGCCTGTCCGTCGCCTCTGTGACAGGCTTGGTTCTTGTTTGGCGAATTTAGGAGCAGATCCGCTGCGCTTAAGGGCCCCTTAAGTGCAGCGGGCTGTCTCGGCCTCCATCGCGTCGATGCTCGAGCTGGCTCGAAGGGGCCTGCATCCCAAGGCGGGCGAGCCCCTCGAGCCGCTTGTTTTCGCGGAGCTCGGGGTGCCTGCGATGCTCAGCAGGCGCCCGAGCCCGAGGCACCTGAATAGTGGGCGGGTGCGGGCGGGGGGCGCGGTGCGTGTGGGGACTGCCCGGCGTTGCGCCGTTAGTGACCCTCGCACCGTTGCTCCCCTGCCCCGCGCACGGATTTTTTCCAGCTGTGGGTCAGCTGGTGCCTGTCCTCGCCTGTCTTTCGCCTCCTGTGACAGGCTTGGCTCTTGTTTGGCGAGTTTATTTCTTTTTGTGCACTGTCTCTGGCATGTCTGCCAGACAGTGGGAGCCCGAGCCGAGGTTCGATCCGTGCGGGGAGGGGGCCATAGTGGGCGCTCCGAAAGGAACTCGCGAAGCCCCCTCCCCAAAGCGGCTCTCGCCGAGGCGAGGTCTTTCAGTGCTGGCAGGTCCCGCCCTGCCAGTTATCTGCACTTTGCGGTGGGTCCGTGGAGATCAAAAGAACCGACCAAGGTGTGAAGCATCTGTCCCGCTGTATTGCCTGCCGCCATGAAATGAGACCCCATGCATTCACGAAGAAGTTGTCCCGCCCCTCGTGGGAGCTGTTCCTGTGTCGGGGTGTCAATGATCACCGAAGAGCCTACATCATCCCATCCATGTGGCCCGCGAGACTGACCGATTCCATCGTTGAGGTCACAGTTTAGTAGCTGTGCGCACCGATGCGGCAGCGCGCTCAACACCTGTCAGATCCTGTCCACTAGTAAAAAAACCGTCACAAAGATCTGCGGCCTCTGTGCTCGATACTTCGAGCGTGGGGGGAAATTGACCACCATCGGGCATAGATCTATTGGTCAGCACTGTGCTCTCGCCGCCAGTGCTCTCCCACTCGCCGCCGCTGGACTCACCCATGTGCGAACGATGTGCTGTGTGTTTGATATGACTTCCGAAGCCGATGGCACACCCGCAACTGTTGTCATTGTACGGCGATGTATATTACGGAGGCTCCAAAACGAGACGGCCCGCACACCTCTGTCGCAGTACTCTCACCCCCTGCTGTGGATGATCGACATTCTTTGTCCCCGCCAGAGCCAATTCATCGAAGTTACGAGTTTTGTTCATCACCTTACATAGCCTATTCCCGCTAGCCCATAATGGATTGAAACCGAGAAAGCGGAGGAGAGACATCATGGCGGCATCCCCTTCCCCGACTCGGGCCTCGCCTGGCCTCTCGAGTGGTGTACTCCACCATGGTCAACACCTGGCGGGCGCGGCAAGCGGCGCGCTGCGCGCAAGCGGCTCGGACCGCTAGGAGGAGGAGGAGGAGGAGGAGGAGGAGGAGGAGGAGGAGGAAACGAGGAAACGAGGAAACGAGGAAACGAGGAAACGAGGAAACGAGGAAACGAGGAAACGAGGAGGAGGAGGAGGACGAGGGGAGCTGCAGAGGCGAAGGATGCAGCAGACTGGGTGCTGGAGGGCGAGAGCAGCCAGGGAGCGGGCGCGCGAGGGCGGCCGCCGCGAGCCCCCGCGTGCGGCGGCCTCGGGCAAGAGGCGCCTGCGGGCTTTTCGGTGGCGCACCCGAGCCGCACGCCGCCCGGCCTCTCCAGCGGGCGCACCGCCCGGCCTCTCCAGCGGGCGCGGCGCTCCCGCGTGTCACCGAGCGCGTTCCACTGCTCGTAAAGTGCCTACTCGCAAACGTCACCAAAAAAGAACCTGTCGTCCTCGGTGTAGTTTGTACCGTAGATCCCGCACGGTGGATCAGGGCCATTTGTGAGTAGTTACTTTGCGAGTAGTGGAACACGCTCGTCTAGGCGTGCGCAGACCGCTGCGGCCGTGCCCCAGCAGTCTGGGTTCATTGTCGGGCGTGTCCCTCTGCAGGAGGAAAGTTTAAACAAAATAGTCTGGGGACGATTTCTGATTTTTGTGTTGAGTATGTTTGGGTCGCTTTGGGGTATTGTGTTGTACATCTCGTTCCGAATCCGCCTGTAGGGGGACATGCCCGACCTACGCCTGGGCCTTTGGGCGCGGAGGTGTTGATTCGCGCTTCGCGCATCGCGTTTCGGGCTGGAGAGAGGCGCCCTTCTCCGTGGCCTCTGCGCGAGGGGCGCGAGGACTCGGGGGTCCCCGAACGGGGTGGTGACCACACCGTGTGGTGAGACGGTGGAGATCCGGGGTCACCGCACGGTGTGGGGACTCGGGTCGTTCTCCGAGGACGTCTCGGGCGGTTGGGACATCCGAGGTCCCAAAACCGGGCGTTGACGGACCGTGCCCGCACGGTCTGTCACCGCACCGTTTCGGGGCTCCAAAAGGAGGGTCGCGCATCTCGCGGGGCGCGGGGCGCGAAGTAGTCGGGTGACCTGGAGGTCTCCGACACGGCTGGACGCCTGTCCATCCCCAGCGGGGTTGCTCTTCTTCGGTGCCAGATGCGTGGGGGCCCTGGTCCCAGGGCCGTCAAGAGTGCATCCTGGAAGCACCCGAGGCCGCGGAGTGAGCACAGGTCGGATCCTGGCCGACGGATTCCTATGGGGCTGCCCGAGATCGCTCGGCGCTGCCCGGGAGCCACGCGGATGAGAGATCGCGGCGGGCGCTTTTGGTGCGCTCGACAAGGAGCCGGTCCAGGGGGGTCGAGAGTTCCAGGGTCCAAGTCGTGTGACAAAAGAGTCGGCGCGGGAGGCCTCTTTCTCCTCATCGTCGTCCTCCTCCACCTCCTCCTCGTCCCCCCGAGGACTTCACCAACAGGATCCTCGAGCACTGCATCAAGGAGACAGCGCGCAGCTGCCTGTGTCCCGCCTGTGCCAGGCCAGACGAGCGACGGCGGTGGCAGAGGATTTGGAGTTCCCTGTCCCCTCTCGGGGGCCTGGAGGGTCCTCTCGGGAGAGTCTTGGGTGCCTCTGCGGTCGTCTTGGACGTTCTGAAGGTGTCGTCTCGGTCGCGCTCAGGTCGCTCGCGGTCGTCTTGGACGTTCGGAGGGCGTCGTCTTGGTCCCCTTTTGGGGGCCTCCGCGGTCGTCCTGGTCGCTCTTGAGCGCCCCGCGAACGCCTACGGGTGAGACTGCAGGTCCCCGGCCCACGTCCTCCGCCAGCTCAGCGCGAGCCGCCGCCGAGGCCGCCGCACCGCTGCCGCGCGCCGAGCCCGTCCGCCGCCTCCTCGGCCTTCCCTGGCCCACCGCCGCGCTCGCTGCGCGGGCACACCCCGCCAGGGGCCCGCCAGGGGCACGCCGGAGGGCGCCATGGGGGCGCCGACACCCGGAGGTCGCTGCATGCAAGGCGCTGCGCCGTCCAGCTGCCCACCCACCTATCCGTATTCGATGATCCTCAGGGCGTGCGTTAGCTCAATGTGTGTGTGTGTGTGTGTGTGTTACCCCTTTGAGCTCCGTCGATCGGGCCCGGCCTATGTCGGTCCTCCTCAGGGGCCTGGGTGGAAGGCACACGTGGGCGGCAGCACACGTCCCGAGGAGCATCGATGTATCCACGGCCTCGCGGCCCTCCGGACCCAGGGATTGCAAGGTGGTTGGGCGCGGATAAGCGCCCCGCGCGAGACGTGCATACGGGAGCGTACATCTGTGGGATCGTGCCTCGGTATCCAGACCGTGACGGCATGGGCATTGACATGCTTGTCGCTCCTGAGTGTTGCTCCAGACCCCCGATGGTAAAGTCTGGAACCACCGAAGTGGTCTTCCGTTTCTTGCGCCCTCCCTCAGGGCGAGCACGTGCGTCTTGTCTTATCTCCTATATTCGCCCCATCCTTATCCTCGTACGGGCGCCCACCCGACGCTGGTCCCTGCTTGGCGCAACCTGAATGCCCATCATGCAGAGGCGCCGAACGCAGAGGCAGGCCATCGGTAAGTTCCCACGTGGAGCTGTTTCTATCCGCGATTGCTCCATGGACTGAGGGTCAGGAGGGCCCGATCCGCACGCGGTCCACTAGACTCCGCCTCCGGTTGCCACACCTATGGCCCTACAGTTAAGTCGGGCCTGTCCCTCTACAGGGGGAATATACAAAAATAGTCTACAAATAGTCGGGGGACTATTTTTGGAGTTTTTTTGGACCATTTTGGAGCATTCGTCCAAAATCTTCCTGTAGGGGGACAGACCCAACCTAATTGCAGCCCTTCCGGGCTCTGACGCTTGCTGCCTGTGTGTGGTCGTATTGCTTTCGGGCGAGCTCTGACCACCGGCCCCCTCGGAGGACCGCTCGGTTCACGCGGTCGCCATGCTGACGCACGTTTGGACCACCAGTGGGCCGCAGCTGGATGACGCCGTGGAGAGCGAACGCCTCCGCATCCTCAGACAGTTGGGCTCAAGCTAGGGGCCCGTGACCCACTCCCGAATCGGAGCGCACACTTCTCTCCCACCGTCGCGGATGGTCGCCGCAGGGGGTGTCCACACGGTTCTGCTCACAAGCGACGGCACGGCTGTGGCGTGTGGCAGCAATGCGTTTGGCCAGTGCGACATCCCTCCATTAGACACAGGACTTATCTACACGAAGGTGGCCGCAGGATGTTCGCACACCGTTCTCCTCGGGAGCGACGGCAAGGCCGTTGCCCGCGGCCAGAATGAGTATGGCCAGTGTGATGTCCCAGCGCTGGGTGAAGGGCTATCTTATACACAAGTGGCTGCTGGATGGTCACACACGGTTCTCCTCGAGAGCGACGGCAAGGCCATTGCTGCCGGCCGCAATGAGTTTGGCCAGTGCGACATCCCGGCTCTAGAGGCAGGTTTATCCTACACACAAGTGGCCGCAGGATGGTCGCACACGGTTCTCCTCAGAAGCGACAGCGCGGTCGTGGTTTGCGGCGGTAGTCAGTATGGCCAGTGCGACATTCCGTCCTTGGGAGCAGATTTGGTTTACACGCAGGTGGCCGCAGGAGGGTACCACACGGTTCTCCTCCGGAGTGACGGCATCGCTGTGGCTTGTGGCCGCAATAATTGTGGCCAGTGCGACATCCCTGTGCTCGACGCGGGCCTGACGTACACGCAGGTGACGGCAGGACTGCACACCGTTCTCCTCAGGAGCGACGGCACGGCCGTGGCCTGCGGCAACAACGAGTTCGGGCAGTGCGCCATCCCCGTGCCGGGCGCTGGCCGGGCTTACACGCAGGTGGCCGCCAGATGGTCGCACACCGTCCTCCTCGGGAGCGACGGCACCGCCTCGGCTTGCGGCAACAACCCGTACGGCCAGTGCGACATCCCCGCGCCGCGTGCGGGCCAGATCTACGCAGCGCAACTGACCCCAACGGTGCTCTTGCAGGCCGTGCTCGATGGCAGTTCGATCCGCTTCGTGACGCTCGGCGGGTCGGAGCGCTTCAGGCTCGAGGTGTCTCCCGCCAGCCGCCTCGCGGATGTCTACGAGCAGCTGAGGGCCGCTCACTGCAGGGGCGGGCCAGCCTCCGCGCGCGCGCGTGTCGACGCCGTCCTGCCCGGTGGTCGTCCTCTCAGCGGCGCCCTGCCGGACGAGACGGTGGCAGGCGCCTTCGACTTTGCCGACGGGGTTGCCGCCTGAGGCGCGCTTGACCAGCGTAGCCGAGGATATCAGTAAGGAATGGTAGGGGGACGGGACGGGAGAGGGCGTGTGACAAGTGGCTTCAGTTCCAACTTCTCTGAGGGACATGCCACGTGCAGCATCCACCGTGAAGTCAGCACTGAGGATCATGCATTTGATGTTTCCCCGCTGACGCATGATTTTCATTGCGCACCCGTGGTCCATGCACCAGTCCTGGCCCAGGGCCCCGAGCTTTCTGTTCTGGACAGCATTTGCATGCTGCAGCCACACTAGTCAGGAGACGAACACCGATCTGTATTTCATGAATAGGCGGTCCGCCGCATCCTTTAACATGTTGTCTTTGGAGTGCCTTTTTTGGTTGAATGTTCCGTCCATCCACGCTGGCGCAGAAAAGTCACACAAGTAGTCAGTGTTGATGGCTCATGCCTCACCGATGTGTTCCAGCAAGCGTTGCAGGAATTGGGCTCGAACATCGTCATTGTGGATGGCGTGGTGGAGATACCTTCCATCTCTGTGGGGCGGATCACGTCCGACAGGGCACACGACGTCCAGATGTGGAGTTCTAATTTGCGCATGTCTTACAGCCTCGACGGAAGCTCGTTCCGGCGGCATGAGGCTGTGCGTGTGTGGCCGCGATCTCTTCCCCAGGCCACGCTCCGCACGCACCTGCTGCTTATTTACTGTTTCGCCGATCGGCGCGGGCCCCTGCCCCCCCCTTCTCCCCCCCACGCATGCGAGATCTTGGCTGCTTCTGGATTCTGGATGCTGCTTCTGGCGACTGGTCAGGACCCCCCCCTCGTCTGCCTGCCTCGAATGAGAAGTGCAGATCGACCGAGCACTGGCCCAGACCCAGGCCCAGACCCCACCCTTCGGCCAACCGTCAAAATCCAGAGTTCGGGAACGCCTGCCGTGGCTTCGCTGCCAGCCGAGCTGCGCTGCAGTCTCCTCCGTGATGCCACCCAAGGTGCGCCAGACAGGGGAACGACTGGCGCTGCGCTGGCCGCGGCGAGCCTCGGCCACGACGGGGCTCCCCGGCCTGCAGCAAAGGGAGCGGTCCGACAACGAGAGCCCCGCCCGAGGCCAAAGCGGCCCCTGCAGCGGGGGCCCGTGCCCAGGAGCACCCCCTGCCTGCCTCCAGGCTGCCCTGGGCTTCTTGGGCCCTTTCTGTGGAAAGCACGACGTTGCCGCGCCAAGAATCAATGGACGCCCAGGGGTCTCAGGGTTGGGTGTCTTGTGGGAGGTTTCTTGTGGACTGGCCTCCACCAGCCTCCACTGTATGTCAGCGCCCCAGCTGTAATATCGAGTGGCCTGTGGCCTGGGCGGGGGTGCTTTGCAAGCCTTCTTGGAGGCCTCCAGTGCGTCTCTCGTCGGGGGCCTCCAGACCCAAAGGGCTTTGGATGGCTGGCCCTGAGCTCCCTCCGAGGCCAAAATCCGTAAGCCTGTCCGAGGTTGATCAATGTTTCTAACCCTCGCCAGCTGTATGAGCCTTGAGTCGAGGAAGAAAAACCGCCATAAACAGAAACTTTTGGCGCTCCGCGCGGATTTCTTGGATCCGCGCTGGGCCTCCCCGGCGGCGCCTCCGGCGCCGCCCCTGGCGCGCTCCGCGCGCGCGCCAGGGGGGGCTCCAGCGTGGATCCAAGAAATCTGCGCGGAGCGCCAAAAGTGTATGTTTACAGCGTTTTTTCTTATCTCATTGAGGCACTCCACTGCGTGCTCAAGGCACAGTGGCGGATCCAATCGCGAGTCCGCTTCCTGTTTCTGAAGGGCGACGCCCTCTGCCGCCGGCACCACGAGCTGAGCCATGTTGTGGCTGTGCTGGGTCACCTCTGGGGCCATCTCGGGGCCCTGCGCGGTCTCGAGGCCTCTGAGGCTAGCTTCGTGTCGGATTCGGGGATGCTGGTTCTATCTTGGCGCCTATCCCGAGGGCAGTTTTGGGCTACCTAGGAGCCGTCTTGTGCAATGTCTGGGGCTTCAGGGGCCGCCGTGTAATTATCTTGGAACGTATTGGGGGGGCAAACGTGGGACAGGCAGAGACAGTGAAAGCACGGGTGCCGTTCATTTTTGTTTGCCAGGCGTAACCCGAGTCTTGGACACTTCTCGTATCTCCACCAGCTTGTTCAGAAACGATCACCAGCCAAAGCGTTTTGATCAGCGAGATGTGGGAGCATCCACAGGAACAGACAGGTGAATTAGTCGTCAAGCCCAAGCTCGGACTCAGTCTGAGCATAGTTACCCAGGCCGAGCCTGGTCATTGAAGGG